ATATGATTTTTTTGAACTTAAATTTTCGATTGTAAAAATTCTACCAACTTCTTTGCAAGTTCGATTGTGCCTCCCCCCCTCCCAACGTTAAAGTTCTGCGTCCGCCCATGACTCTATATAACTTATAATTTGTCACTTTATAATAAGTTCCAAACTGGACTAGAAGTACACACTCATACTATTCAGCATGAAGTCCCACTATTTTAAGACTCAGTCAAACCAATAAAAGCTACAAGAGAAAATGAAATTTGACTCTATTCCTTGATTGAATATATGAACATGTTTGGCACATTGTTGTGTCACGTCATATTAAGTGTTATGCCATTATTTTCGTCAATAATTTGACACTTATTCCTCCAAAAATTAATATTTTTTATCAAATTTTTCTGCTCATTTTGTCCGACCCCCTCGAGTCAACAAAAGAAAAAAAGTATTAATAATAAGAACTGTAGACCTACCAAAAATATTTTCTCGTCCAAATTTTGGATACCATGGTTTTTTTATGAATGATTGAAAACTTTTTAACAACAAATCACGTATGATTTCATTTTGAGCAGAAATAAAAATATATCACAAACATGAACTAAAGGTAGGGCCGTACCTTTGTTTCACAGATCTGAGGTGAACTTTAGAATTTGAGCTCCTAAATTATAGCAAGCAAGCAATTTTCTTATTTTAAGAGTTTTACAGTACTAAATTTATTAACTTAAACATCAACAATAAACAACAAATAAAGTAAAATTTTCAAAATATTTATATTACAATCAAATAACAATGTGAAAATGTCCTAAACGATCACTTAAATACTCTAACTAAAGTCACTTAACAACTAACTCTAACTAAAATTTGAGTGTAAAAATGCTTTCAAATTAGTTTAAGAAATAAAGATTAAAAGATATGATTTTTTGTCAAAGCATTGTACCAACATATAGCATAAACTATAGTTATATATAACAAATGAGATAGAGTGGTAGACCATTTAGGGAAAAAAATAACAATGCAACAATTAGAAATAGTGAATGAACTAAAGAATAAATGCAAATTCATAAGAATGATAACACAAAAACATACGTAATAATTAATTAATCAATGGATAGTACTAAATTCATGAATCCCTCATAAGTCATAATTTATAAACCAAAGGCAATTGAATTCATATATACCATCATCAAGCTTTAACAAAAATCACTCGAAGAAAGTCACAATAAAATTTTCTTGAACCCACACCTCTTATTTTATATTATTGAACTGAAACTATACAAGTTTTGTGAAGATATTGATAGATCTTACATTGACATATCGATCTAATATGCCAATAATATCAAAGAAAAGTGCGACCAAAATGTGCATAACATGTTCAGAAAGCAGGTAAAAATTTTGACACAAAAAGGGTGTAGAATGTGCTCAAATTGACAACAATATTGATGCATATCCCCACTTTTGTTACACAATGGAATAAGTATTCATATTCAACAAAGCAAAGCAAATAATCCCACGAACAAACTGATTATTGAAAATACTTGTATGAATAACAAAACAATTGATTTATATAATTTCCCAAACTCTCAACCTTTAATGATTTTTTGTTTCTCACATGACCACAAAACAGAGTTTTTCAAATGCAAAAAATAAAAAATAAATAAAAATTCA